GGAAATTGACACTCACAGTCCACAGGGTGCTTGTAAGTTTCAGCTGTGTCTTGCTGTGCATACAGAGGTAAAGACAATGTTTCCTGTGGAGGGGGGGTTGGGGAGCAGGGCCCTCCATCAACCCTCCCCATTGGCAGTGCTTGAAAGGCTCTCCCAGTCACACCAACTTAGATTGTTGAATAGATTTTGCGATGTGGAGTTGGAGACTTAGTCTCTGGTTGAGTGCATCTGTACAGTAAAGATTTACCAATGTTATTAGGAATACTAATAGCATACTCAAACATTTCCAAAAATTAAGGCAAAAAAAAAAAAAAAAAAAAAAACAAGCCAGACATGTAAGACTAATTATTGACTTCTTGTTGACTAAGTACTTGTTTAGCTATCTATATATAAACACAAATAATAAATTGAAATTATAGTGGACATGGCATATGTGTACTTGCCATCGCTGGTGACAGTGGATTCATGAATCTAGACTATGCTTGGGTGGTCAAGTCCAGTGATACAGATTTCTGTGGTTTGCCAAGGGAAACAACCCTCCACCATTCTGGCAAGGTAGAGATTATAGACCTCTCTGGAAACTAGAAAAAAATAGGCCAATCTTTTGTCTTTCTAAGTTTATTTGGGAGAGAATTATAGGCCTATTGAAGTAGGAAGTAAGAGACCATAGCAATGCTCTTTGTGGTCATATTCTGAATGTTGTCCCATATTTCATTTGTTCCAAACCCTCTACCTACCAAGATCCCTGTTTGTTAAAAATTTCCCATGAATCTCAATAAGCTGATTTCACTAACTAATAATGAGCTAGATTTATCAGTTCATTCCAATAATTCAAAGGGCATGTTAGTGAGTATGCAGCTAAATAAATAATAAAGGGCCATATTGAAAGATTGAACTGAAATTCAAGTCTATATTCAGTATATCTAAAGTGAGTAGGTAATTTTGAACCTAGCTAAGAGAGACCAAATTTAACCATTATGGATGCTTTAAGAGGCTAGAGACTACCAGTTAGGAACCTGAGCTTTATTTGTCAAGAAATTGTCAGGAAAGTTTGCAAGTGGATGTGGGTAGAATCCTATAATTATAAGAAACAAAACTCTCTTTGAATAACATTTTGGATATCTTAGAAACATTTGCTAATGTTTTTTTATACATTATTGACCATTTTCTATTACATTGGAAAAATGACGATATGGAAGTTTAGCTATTTGGCACATGTGAATTGGGAACCTAATTGTTTAAATGGTGCCAATATTTTTGTTAAATATGAGACTAGCAAGCATATTCCACTAGCATATTCCACTGGTATGTTTGAGTAAGCTATACTGATATCTGAATCTGAATACTGAATGCGTAGGCAGGTATAATTGCTGTAGCTAGGCCTATATCCTGCATGTCGAAATGTACATAAAGTATATTAGACTGCAAGAATTCCACAGTATTCTCAGAGTTGAGAAAATTGTTTTGGTAATAAAAGAATAAAGCAGTGACACAAACTGATGTGTATGTACAATTTTTTTTTTAGGATTACTTAGAATTATATCTATTTAGGAATGCATTACACTATGATTCTTATGTTATAGCATGAGATATATATGCATGTGTAGTTATTGGCCAAAGAAGTGGCACTTGCTGTTCATAGATTCATACTGGGTAGAGTGTAGCATGTAGTCAAAGCTTTTCCTTGATGTATTGACTACCGAGGTGGTAGAATTGATTTTGGCTGAGGACTTGATGGCCTCAGTAAGCACCTGAAATTAGCTGAAAGTTCATTCCTGAATATTGTTTACCTTTTTTGGTTTTGGTGCTGCACAGAAGATCTCAAAGCCAAGATTGTTTTTAAGAGATGAAGATTGTTTTAATGAAATCATGAAAAAGTATCATGTATTTGACGTAAGCTATCCAGACATTTTGGGGAATAGGATAAACCAAGAAATATTAGTAAGCAGGATACTCTTCAGTTATAGAGCAGTAAAAGTACTTTATAACAGGGAAGGTTTCTAATTAACTCATTGCTGCCGGGGATGGCACGAACGTACATGCCATGCCTACTGTGGGTCGACTTGTTTGATTGTTTATACATATAGATGGCTACACATGTACTAAGTATCTAATGAGCCAATTACAGTACTGCCTGTCTCGCCCTTTCACCCTTTTCATCGATTTACGAAAATATTTAACGTTATCCTAATTTGCTATTAAAAATAACACCATCTATATTTATAGCACTAGTAAGAATACGTTTTTTCCCGCCTATTCAAGGAAAGGTGAAATCAGAACTAGCAGAGCCATCTATGGACAGAGATATTTCACAAAAATATAAAAAATGAGTCCTGCATTTCCCCTATTTTTTGTTCATTTTCCCCGGCGGCAATGGGTTAATCATAAATCCTCTGTTGCTAACATTTATACACATTAGATATGTATGCCTGTATGTATATATTTATGTATCTATGTATGTATATAATGTGTGTGTATATGTGTGTTTGTGTATACATTTATGTATCTACATATATATATATATATATATATATATATATATATATATATATATATATATATATATATATAAACATATATATAAATATATATATATGACATATATATATATGACATATATATATATGACATATATATATATGACATATATATATATGACATATATATATATATATATATATATATATATATATATATATATATATATATATATATATATATATATATATATATAATATATATAACAAAATTTTATATATATATATATATATATATATATATATATATATATATATATATATATATATATATATAATATATATAACAAAATTTTATATATATATATATATATATATATATATATATATATATATATATATATATATATATATATATATATATATATATATATATATGTTATATATGTTATATATGTTATATATGTTATATATGTTATATATGTTATATATGTTATATATGTTATATATGTTATA